ACTGTAGGATAAACGCTTCTATTTATTGTCTAGTTGTGGAAAAACACAGGAGAAAAAAATCTGTTTAAATTTTTATTTTTAAATTTAAATCTGTTTAAAAAATCAGACATACACATATTTCAAGCTATTTGATTTAAAGGCCAATTTGCCAAGGTTTGTGCAAACAGAAACTCATCACATACTACATTTAAAACAAATATATCACACAAGCAGTTAAGCACAAATGCATATGGCTGTGTCCCCAGGGCTTTGTGGGTTCATGGGACCTGATCCAACTCACAGCACATAAGACACATCTTGCAAATTTTTTCCTTTCTTTTTAATTGACAAAGCAAACAAAGGGAAGCTTCTGGTTTTGTTCCTAGTCAGAATTAATTGCAGGTAGTCCTTGATTAACGACTGCCCTGTTTAGTGACTATTGAAAGTTACAACCGGTCCTCGCATTTACAACCGTCACAGCATTCTGCTGTCACGTGATTGCCATTTGCGTACTTCACAGCCAGCTTCTGACAAGCAGAATCAATGGAGCAGCCAGCAGTAAAATCGCAAGTTGCAGTCCCATGATGTCTCATTTAACTACCAGGTTGCTTAGCAATGGAGTTTCTGGTCCCAACTGTGGTTGTTAAGCAAGAACTACCTATATAGCAATTGCCTCTAGCCTCCCTGCAATGCTAAACAGCAATAAAGTAATAGACAGAGGGTTTGGTTAAGAGTCTCTGGCTAGGTGTTTTAAAGTGACTTAATTTTCTATTGGAGACAGCCAGTTTGGTGCCAGGCTAGAAACTGGGAGTCTGTGAGTTCTAGTCCTGCCTTAAGCATGAAGCCAGCTGGGTGACCTTGGGCCAGTCACTCTCTCAGCCCTAGGAAGAAGGCAATGGCAAACCACTTCGAAATCTTGCCAAAAAAACTGCAGGGATTTGTCCAGGTAGTTGCCAAGAGTCAAGACTAACTCAAAGGCTATCTATCTATCTATCTATCTATCTATCTATCTATCTATCTATCTATCTATCTATCTATCTATCTATCTATCTATCTATCTATCTATCTATCTATCTATCTATCTATCTATCTATCTATCTATCTATCTATCTATCTATCTATCTATCTATCTATCTATCTATCTATCTGATATGTATGCAGCCTAAGTGTGAACTAAACATAGGTATTGCTATCCCTAAATTCCCTTCCTACTTAGAAATAAGTGAGGGGGTTGACAGGCATTCTTTCTCTCAGGCTGTCAGTCTCTCTAGCTGGCAGGATATGGTTTCCCTCTCTGTTCTGGCTTCCCAAAAGCCATCTGTGTTGGGTAGATTTGTCCCACAGTGACCTCTTCTTTCTTCAGTGGGTCTTTAGACTGTTCTACTCACCACCATTTCAGGAGTCTTGCCTCAGGATCTTCTGGAACCAACAACAACTTTCAACAGCCAAGACTGTCAAGAATCCATTTGGTTTGCCAGCCATTATTGGTCACACTTTTAGATGATCTCTGGCAAAAGCAGGATGGGGGTAGTGCATCCATCCTGGCTCTTCTTGACCTCTCAGTGGCTTTCAGTACCATCGACCATGGTATCCTTTTGGGTTGGCTGCAGGAGTTGGGGCTGGGTGGCACAGTTCTGTCCTGGTTCAGCTCCTTTCTCCAAGGCCGAACCCAATCGGTATTGATAGGGAGCAAGAGGTCCAACCCACGGCCCCTACTTTGTGAAGTGCCTCAGGATTCGGTGCTCTTGCCGCTCTTAACATCTACATGAAACCATTGGGTGAGATCATCCAGCACCATGGGATGAGGTATCATCAGTATGCTGATGATACTGAATTATACATCTCCATCCCA